CTCATCTTGTCTTGTTTTCCTCTACAGTCAAATTTCTGTTCAAAACTTAGACTTCTTCGAAATAAATTCCCTGATCGTCTAGGCTTGGATTTTCCTGTTGCATTCTACCACCTTACCTTGTATTTCCTTCTTCGGACCCTCATGGAAGTTTATTGTAATTATTGTTTTTTATCTGGCATCTTCCTACCAGAATATGGGGAAGGATCTACTAAGGGACCATGACTGTCTTTTTCTTAGTTGCACCAGCGTAATGCTTAGCAGATAGTAGACATTCAAGTATTGATTAATGAACAAAAACTTAGGAAATTAACAAATAATCAAACACATTGTATCCAAAGATGATTCTGTAGTTGGGGGAGCACTTTTATCTATCAGTAGTCACTACAGGACAGAAATAAGCTACTCAAAATAACATCAACATATGGAGGAAGTGGCATTTAAATGCACCGAAAAAATACGAATGTAAAATGGAGTATACAAATTGGCATTACAGTAATAGCATAAAATGCTTCTAGATGCCTGTTTTCAAGGACTTTTCTCTGCCAATAATGGGTATGTCTATGTCTTACCTTAAGACTCAGTTTAAAACTATTCTTATTTATTATAAGGGCCTTATCTCAATATGCTGCTGTCTCACTGCTATTCAGTCAGCATATCCTTCCAGGTATCATAAAAATAATTTCATCTTTGTTTTGCACTTAATGATTTCCTGCTTTGCCATTTTCTCTAGTTCTATACATGTTATTTTTTAACCCAACTATATTGACGGTTCTTTAGAACCAGAGTAAAGGAAGAATTTCTACTTATTTTATTTTCTTATATTTCCTTATCAAGAGCTGCCTAGCACAGCAACACATTGTGCTATACTGATGTGTTTATTATCTGTTCTCCTGCCTAGGCCGAGCTTCCCTTCCATGGAGGGAGTTTATCTTGTAAGGATGTGAGTAGGTGCAGAAGAAAAAACATTTCCTGATGTGAAAGATAACGTGACTCGATAAGGAGCACTGCTTTGCATCAAAGATACAAGCAGGAAGCTAAACACAAACGTTAAAAGTGTCCTGCACAGACCCCTGAAGGTGTTTTCTCCTTTGGGACTATAAGTTCTTCTTTCTTTTATGAGGTATAGTGTCCTCACATTTGCTAGATACATTTAAGAATTAAACATTTTATGCTTTGTTTAAATTTAAGAAACTACCAATGTGTTTTTTATGGATTGTCGATAGTCTGAAATTGAAAACATAATTTTTAAACATTCCACCATTTGATTCTATTTTCTAATTTAATACAATGACAATTTACATTAAAATTTATCTTTAATGACATATTTTCATCCTCTATGACTTCAATATAGAGGAAAGATGACATAAATGTATATATTTAAAATATGTTAATCTCTTAGCTGAATCTGAAAATATTAACATTTAAAAACATTATTTTCTCAAAGTAATATTTTATTGAAAATTAAATAATTTGAAATTAGTGATCCAAGTTGAAGAAAAAATAAATACAAATTTAAGAATTTTCTTTGCCACGCCCACGTTATAAGTATGTATAAATTAGAGACACTTTAAAAATATTTACTGCTTCCGTAATAATTTTTTTTTACTTTCAAGTCACTTAGTCAAAATACCTGGGTCATAATTTTTTTTTCTGCTGTATTTTCTCCTGAAGCCATCTAGGTACAATTAATTCAATGTGCAACTCTTTTAATTTGGACCTGGCAATTTGTAAACCCATTTTTATAATATGTGTTCACATTTACACTTCTCTCAAGTCTTAACATTGCTTGTCTACATATGCTTTTAGAAATAAGCTAAGAGTTGTTTCAATAGTTAGTTTCAATAGCACTTATCATGACTTGTTTAAAGAAAGAAAGGAATTAACATTCCTTAAAAACTGTTCTGCATGGCGTAAACCCTAGACACACGATCTCATGTATCATTCTCATTTTTCCTATGTTAATGTATTATGGCTTTTTCAGATGAGGAAACTGAGGCAGAAACATAAATAGCTTATGACAAAATTATATACAAGTGTGGGATCAGGATTTGAACCCAGCTCTAGATATTTCTAAACTTTAGTTTTTCCTGCTGCATCATACTAACACCCTATTAATTTGGGATCCAGAGAGAAGGCAGAGCTTTAAAGGAGAGGACATAAAATCCAGCTGAAATGATCATCTCTTGTAGAGACCTGAAAGTTCAATATGTAGTCTTTGCCTATTAGGTAGGAAACTGATTCCCATTAGTAATGTCAATTTATAGTCGGGGATCATTTAGTAAGTCTTACATAGTTTAATTGAAATTGTCCAATTGCATCAGTAAAGAATTATTAAGCTATATTAGCAGTGAAATAAATGAAATACAGATATAAGACGTTGAAAAAAAAGAAAACAGGGTATAATAGGCATATGACATAGGTAACGTGACCTTGTTATTGTTCTTTATCAAGGAAGTAGGTTATAATTTAGATTCTTTATAAGATTCAGTTATACAACTACCATGGAATACAGAATATAGAAAAATGGAGAATATTTCCATATAAATATCCTTCCTGATTTAATTTTCTACTAGTAAAAATCGTATCTTCCAACCATCTCAAATATGTCACCTAGTCTTGTCAAGTCTGTCTACTCAATAAATCTAGAGTACTTCCCGTCATTTCTTTATCTCTACTGCCGCCTGCCTATCCCACCTCATCCGCAGCTCCTCTCCTCACATTAGCGACATCAAAATGCCTGCAATTTCAGGAAAATGCTAGGGAGCTTTACATATTGGGGCTGTCAGTGCTGAAATGTGTTTCTTCATTTGTCTTAAAATAGGACTCATTTTTCATGTGTGAACCATACTGCAAATCTAGCCTTAACTCTCCAGGTAGATGAAATCACTCTTTCCTACCATGCTAATAATTAACTTTCAATGAAGTTGTATTATTATATCACCTATTATGTATTTGACTAGTTTTATTACGTGTCAGTCTCTTCTTTAACTCTGTAACTTCACTGTGGGAACAGATCCTCAAAAAATCAGTTTAATGAATAAATATATCAATAGTATCACAATAGTTAACATATAACTGATGAACTATAGAGAAATGCCTTAAAGATTGCAATTGGTATAATATATAACAAGCAAACTCCCTTTAGTAATTTGAATAGAAAACAATTAATAGTAAATAATAGAAAAGAGGCTATTTCAAATATATGTGTGTATATATATATATGTATATATATAAACATAGGCCATCTATATAAATATATATAAACATAGGCCATATATATACATATCGATACTTGCGTGTCTTCAATTAATTTGGTAATATCTAATAGTAGCATTTTTAGAGACACTTCAAAGAAAGACTATAATTTATTACCTGAAAAGCAGCCATAAATTTAATTGTTTTATTTTATCAAAATTAGATGGACAATCTATAAAAAGTTGTGAGTTTTATATCCCAAAATAATAGCTATACTATGTAGTTAAATTATTACAACATAAATTAATTTTGGAAAAAAAGTTAGGGAAATAAACTATTTTATTAAAATTGATAGTTTATTATATATTATAACCTTAAATTAAGCTATAATTAAAAGACGACATTTCCTATTAGAAGATTTTTCACATACAACATTTCAAAATATTATCCTAAAGCAACTACTGTTAATTAGATGAATTCATCAAGGAGGAAAAAATACGACTTTCAAAGCAATATAACAATAAGTAGGATATTTGCAGGGTTAATTTCAAAGCATTTTAGGGAATGACACATCAATCAACCTGACAAATCTTACATGCAACATTGTCAGTTTTCCTGAATTATGTATTGATTTTTAGATGGTGACTTGGAAATAAATGTTGAAATAGCTCCATAGGAATTAAAGTTCTTTTATCCCCCATGAATTCCAGGCCATGCTTCATTTGTCCCTGTGGCTATTAATGTAATACTAGACGAATACATGCTGCAGTAATTGATGTCGATCTAAAACTTGAACTGTTAGCAATATGGTAACTTAAATTATGTCTCATCTTTTCTGAGAGTGTTTACATTTTATCTAGTCTATCTTTTTTCCTGTAAATACAACCATCCTCTCATTCCATGAATCCTCCTCATTTTGGAACAGAATATATAGTGCTGGTCACTTATAAAGATATCAACATTTAGCTCTTGTAGGAAAGATGACTGGCACTAGTAGTTTATGTTGGATACTAGTAGTTTAATGGAGTTTCCTGTTTGTAGACTACTTAAGCCTGAATGCTCTTTGCTTACATAATATATTCAGCAACAAATGTAAATTGCTCAAACTTTACTGTTAAAATTTTAGAAGAATGTGGAGATGATCATGGTTTTGGCTCTGGAAATTCAGTCAACTATAAATGAGATATTCCACACACAAAACACTTTTAGGGGCTATGATCAGAGTCATTGCAGGTTTCTCTCCAAGGCTCTTTCTAGGTCCCTGACCTTGAAGCAACACAGATGAGTCCTGATCACTTGGTACAGAGCCCCCCATCTTTGGCTCAATTTTACCATGAAAGAAATAAAGGCAAGTGACATGTTAATTTGTTTAAATTAATCACCACATATTAATTTTTTTAAAATATTCAAGGATGCCACCCATATTGTCTTTGTCTAACTCCTGTTTTGCAAAAGAAAAAGAAGAAACTACACTGGAAATTCAGCAGCATTTTGAAGTAGGATTTATTTTGCTTTGGCTGTAGCACTGTTTGAGATATTAGGCATTATTTTTCAAGAGCCTGAGTATTGTTCCAAAGAGACAGAAATGTTAGTATTGAAAGTATTGAATATAGTAAGTATTGAAAAATACTGAATCAATGAAAAAAAGAGAATCATCTTAAGGAACTTCCATTGGAATCTACTGACATTTTCTATTTAGACACATAGTGACAATTTGATTATCCCTTAGATGGATTTAAGGTCTTCTCATTGGGGGCAGATCTGTTAGGGGATGGCGCTTCACTGTTCTGAAGCAGTTCACTCACCTCTTTGGGTGCATCAGCTTCAATGAATTCAGAATAAATCATCCTGGCTTTGGAAGCCATTTTTTCTGCATTTGTCGTTTTTTTAAAGTCTTCACAGGCAAGCCAGAACTCAACATTTTCTTCACTAAACTCTGATTTTAGAAATGTTCGAAAAGCATCTAGACCAGCTATGAAATATATGAGAAAAACTTTTGTATAATAGCATACAGAGTAGTAATATGACCAAAACGAGAACATTGTATAGTATGAGCACCTACTGAGTATTCAGTGGCAAATATTGAGCATTCCACCTAAATGTAGTGTATATTTTAGTTGCTAGTTTTAGGAGAATTTATTTTGGATTAGCAATTGTTAACATAAAAAAATATATATTTCTACAAGGAGATTCGCTAACCAAGAAAACCTGTACTTTTTCTATTTGAGAAATCTAAAGTTTGGCGGTCTTGACGGTAGTCACTTCACAGGAAGTGCATGGATCTTGCTGTTAAGGTTTATTGCACTAAGCCCAGGTCAAAGTAATGACGTTATACTCAACTCAGGGTCAGAATGTGTTTGTTGCTATGAGTTGGTACAGTAACAAAATTTGATGCCAAAGTGTTAAATTGTATTGGTTTGGGCTTAAAGCAAAGGAAGAAGAGCTAGCATTTACTAGTTTTGGGTAAATATACAGCCAACTCAATCTCAAAGCCGAGAAAGTAACTGGCAAGATATTTGGTGTGAATACTTCTCTCCTGTGTCAATAAGCAATTTTAATTCCATAAAGTAAATACAAACATGTAGGTTCTCCTCTAATGCTGCCTTACGTAAAACATTGCTGCTTTCTATTCTCCCTTGCAGTACCTGTTCAGGGTGTCTTCCTCCTCCTCCCAGGTATTATCCTTAGCATGTACTTCTCCAGAAACTTTAGACCAGGGACTACAAACGGACTCACTCACTCACAGGCTTGTTTACTTTGGCTTGCCTATGATATGCTCTTTTAAATTTAAGAACAACCGGCAGGGCTTGCAGTCCGTGATTCCCGCGGGTCTCACCTCTTCCCCTTATCTTACTTTCAGTCAAATTTACTTGTTCCCAGAGGTATTTGATATTGTGACCATTTGTTTAGATCCTTCCTTCTCTATTTTCCTCATCACAACCTGCCAGGAAACATTCTTCTTTGGTATACCCAGGGCTTATATGAGACGGTAAACGCCTCTAGTTACACAACAGGTCGGAAAGATCATGATGGTATTCCCACTGTGGACAAAACTAAACCAATACATGTGGGTCATGTTATTCAGTGTCACAGCTTGTACCCTTTTTCTGGCTGCCTCTGTGAGAATGTATATCTCTCCGAGGAGTAAAACATGTCAGCACTTTTGCCACTCAGAGAAATTTGCCTTCCAAAATGTGGCTGGTTTTCTCCCCCACCTGCCAGGAGGGCTCCCTTTGCATGTGCTCCAAGCAGCTGCTCCTTTCCTGCAGGCGGAGAGAGTTAATCCTTCAAGTTCCAAATTTCAGGAGAAGTAAGTTTTTGGAAAAGCAGGGGATAAGCAAAATTGACTACAGAAATAGAAAATAATAAGAGAAAAGTGAATGAAAAAAGGATTAACTCTGTTGTTTATGGGTTGTTGCCTGTAGAAAGCAAAAGTGAAGTTTATCAAGATAGAAAAGGACTTCCTGGAGCAGAATTAAAGTGTCTAAAAACACTGGATTAAAATAGATTTAACAGATTTTTAAAAAGTTATTTGAAATAAAGTTCAAATAACAAGTCATTGCAAAAGGTTATCAGGTGCCAGTTAAAATTCTTGGTTGAAATACTGGAGAGTGTGGATGTGGTTAATATATGAGCGCTATATAAAAATTCAATTAACTTCACATTCCTCGCATTTAAAAATACGTCCAAGAAGTTTCTGTGACACAAATTTAGTTATAAAAATCCTCTTAGTAACACTCAATTAAAATTTTTCTTGAATTCAGTTCAAACAATGATGAATTTCAGAGATTTAAACAGAATTTATGCTAAGATCTGTTTTATATAGAGAATAAAGTGTTATTTAATAATATGAAAAGAATATTGTAGAATCATGCCTGGCAATATTTTATATGTGCATCATCAAGGCATATGGAGCTTCTCCTTAGGAAGATTTTCTAAATGCATCCGAGAGAGATGGGAAGTTAGAGATCAACATACAATTATTATTTTCTCCTGCTCGACACTTATTTAATGAGGGGCTACTCTCAACTAACAATGTTTTCCTCCTCCCATAGCTTGGTTTAGGACCCAATGGAACAAAATAAACAACTTAAACCACTAAACCTGGGGCTAGTTACCTCTGTCTTGAACATGATATTTTGTTGATCTACTCCGCTGTACATAGTTTCAATGTTCAGAAGATGCCAAATGATTTTAAAGTAATATGGTACATAAAATTAAAATTATTATCAGAGGGCACGCTCCACTGAATGGAATCCTTACTGGTTAGTATCAACAAAGGGTGTTAAATGGAATATGTCAGCATTATGGGGTGAAAACTAAGCTAATGCATATACTTAGTGCATGCAAAGTATGTCCCCAAATCAACAAAAACAACTAGGTAATTTGTTAAGTCCTTTAACTGTTTAAAGCATTAGAAAGCATTTGTGCTATTGCCATATCTCTGGTATTATAAAAAGCAAAACCAAACTGTCCAGATGAATCTATGACTTTTCTATTTCATGTGGGCATGAAATATAAAATCCCAGAGGGTATGCAGAGAAAAGAATTGGCCTTCATCTCACCCTTCCTGCCTCTCCTCTGTAGCACTGTTGTATAGACTTCCACTACTCTGGAGCCTTCTGAGTCACAACACACAGAGATAATTCAGTAAGGCTTTCAGCAAACTTGATCGGTCCCATTGGTTATACACTTAAGGAGAAAGGAAATACACCACTTAACACTTAGAAAACTGCAATTTCATATTCTAATGTCTTTAATGTATCTTCTTAGGTGGATTCTGGAAGTTACACGGATTATTTGATGTTTATGCTTTAAAAATTAGTCACTTAGAAATACTATGTTTATAGTATCTAAATTCATCTAAGTCAGTCTAACTTTATACATAAATAAGTAACTACGAAGAATTTATTCAGCTTTATGTGTTTTACATTTTTCTAATCTAATTTTTATGTTTATGAATTTAAAATAAAATGCCATTTGATTTATACAAATAATACTATATTATAAACATTTTCTATCTGTGTTTCACAGTGCCATTTTTCCCCTTTCAGATGAGATAGAATTGCTGATTATTTGTAACACAAACAGAAGTTATATCTTTGTAAATGATTATTTTGTATATAACTTGTGTCGAGTAAGATATTGTGTTAAAGCCTAGGATATTGTATTTATAATTGGCCAAAATGACCTTACTGAATCATTCTATCAATTATAAATACATATTCACAATATACATATTAATGTAGAGATATGCATTTTAATATGTTTTCATATTCACTGAAAATGAGAATAACTCAATTGATATAAAGTACTTTAAAATACTTTTTATTTGGGCCAAGAGTACATGTAAATCACGTGATTTATTTAAATTTTCAACTTTTCAACAGTTTGTATGTTTCTTTCAACTTGTACCAAAGGCTGTCATGATATACATTAAATGATGGTGAGCCAGCTGGGTGCGGTGGCTCATGCCTGTAATCCCAGCACTTTGAGAGGTCGAGGCTGGCAGATCACCTGAGGTCAGAAGTTCTAGATCAGCCTGGCCAACATGGCGAACTCCCATCTCTACTAAAGATAAAAAAATTAGCTGGATGTGGTGGCATGCTCCTGTAGTCCTCGCTACTCAGGAGGCTGAGGCAAGAGAATCCTTTGAACCTGGCAGGCGGAGGTTGCAGTGAGCCAAGATCTCGTTACTGCACTCCAGTCTAGGTGTTAAAGTAAGACTCCATCTCAAAAATAAAAAACAAAAACCAAAATTATAGTGAGCCTAGGGCTGGCGCAGTGGCTCGCACCTGAACCCTGGCACTTTGGAAGGCTGAGGCAGGTAGATCACTTGAGGCCAGGTGTTTGATACCAACCTGGAAGACGTGGTGAAACGCTGTCTCTACTAAAAGTACAAAAACTAGCCAGGCCTGGTGGTGCCTGTCTGTAATCTCAGCTACTCAGGAGGCTGAGGAATGAGCATCGCTTGAATCCGGGAGGTGGAGGTTGCAGTGAGCTGAGAACATGGCACTGCATTCCAGCCTGATTGACAGAGTGAGACTCTGTATTAAAAAAAAAAGCTAAAGTGAGTCTAAGGAACCGAAAATTTCTCTTGATACTTTGAATTTTCCTTTTGTTTTAAAGTACAGAGTTCCTACAAACTTATTTTAGGCCCAACCTGATTCCATTTAGATTTTATTTTTTTATGAATTTATGATTGTCAAGAATTTTAAACTTCATTAAGTTCATACTTTATGATATGTTACCAGCTTTCAGACTTTATTTATATTTAATTATTGTATTTTAAGCCTATTATTAGCTAGATCTTACCTTGGTTGGCTAAAAGTGTGTCCATATTTTCAGACCATGTCATTGCTTCTGTAGTTGGTGACCTGTAGAAACAGCATCTACCCTTGAAAATAGCATTGTGATCTTTTTCTTCTGTAACCAGTAATAATATTTGAGCTATGTATATTTTGAATTACATCATTCTAATGAACTTCTTGCTGTTAATCAAACAGCCAAAGGTCAAAAAGTTATATAATGTTATTTTACAGTAGATAGTTATAGTGACATAAAGTGGGATGTAATTTGACATCAGCAAATTATTTATTAATCTAGCTGACAGTGTTAATATCATTTGAAAATTCTAATAAAGGCATAAAAGTTATTGGTTCTGTGGATCAATGGTGAATTTCTTTTCAACTATGAATATATTATTTGTTAATTTATGCAGCATTACTCTAGTCAAAAAGTTATGATAGCAATGGTGATGAATAAGCTATTTTCTAAGTTTTTGTAGTATAAAAATTACCTATTTCTTAATTATGCATCTCAAAAAAGCTCAAAAACGTTTTAAGAATTTCTATCATGTGATGATCTTAAAAACATTTTGTTCATAATATTTCAAAAAGTCTTTTCCTACTCTGAGGCAGTCTTTATTTCTCTTTAGACTGGTATACTTCTAGGTCTGATATGATTTATTTAAATCTAGGAATCTGTCAAGACAGAATAATATCTTTTCCGAAGCAGTCAAAAAATTTATAGACTTAAGTCTTCTGCAGAGGGTTACTTTTGGGGATGTGATGTAGAAATAATAAATCAGGTTTAAGATATAAATTTTTTGAGATGCAAATACATCATATATTATTCCTCTTAATAAACAAAGATCCTGATGAAAGAAGCCCCTATCCATAGAATGCATCTGCTGCCCAGAAAAAAAACACGTTGGATTATATAGCTGTGATGTACAAATGACTTAATTATAGAAAGAGAGGGTCCAGTTTAAAGTTTGTATTGAAATTATCAGTAAAATAGAGAAAAACTCATATATGTTAATTCTAATAAAAATTTTGTATTTGCACAGCAAGGTGACTAATCTTAAATAGATTAGGGTGAAGTGATTCCTACGCTTTTGCATTCTATGACTTCCTGTGATTTGCTGCAGTTTTATAGTTTTCGCTAGGATTGGTTGTACTCCCTCTACTGGTGCAGCTGCTGTTGCATTTTCAGCTAATAATGGTCATCCTCGTTGAGGACACACAGTGAGGACAATGTAGCTAAGAACTCATTTTACTGTTTTCCATTGCTCACATTTCCAATCTTAAATTTCCTTCACCAGTTGTAAGCAGCTGACTTTCTTTTCTCTCTTGACTTACTAAACCTTGCGGACACAAGATTACCTGCGAAACCATTTGGAAATGGTGTTTTGGTTTTTTTTCCATTCAAATGAACACAAAAATTGTGTTTTTCAGTTTCTATCTTTCATAAATGGAGGATGAGACACAATCCTAGATTTAATTTTACATTGAAGAGATTTTGTGTACTCTATAACCTGTTTCTCAAATAAGCTTATATTTCATATAACTCAAATATTAGATCCTTTAGGAATTCTAAAGTTATCATATGGTCATTTAAAATACACGTGCTTAAACATATTCTTATTTGTACACTAAAATTTGGTTGTTAGCAGGGTATTCAAATTAAAAGCGACTTAGACCTGTGGAACATATTCTAATGAATAGGATAGAGAGGAGCCTGGCCATGCAGAATGCCCATTTTGAATGAGGAACAGGTTTCCAGGAAAAACAGTGAAAAATAGGATCTAGACAAATTCATTCAAAGACAAACATCTATATTCCCATTAGTATGTAAGTTATCTGATGACAGGACTAAATGTTATTTTCCAGCACCAAGAACAGTGTGTCTAGTCTATGAAATATTGAACATATTAACAAGTAAACAACAGATGACAAAACTGCAACTACTGGCGCATATTAAAGCCTTCAATGGAAGAGGGTAAATGGCCTTCAAAATTCTGATAAATTACAATGATAAAAAATTATTGAAAGGTATAGCTAAATTGTATTAGCTTCATAGACATAGGGTGTTCTGGGCAAGAGAAGAGGAAAAATGCTGTGAAAATATCACTGGGGAATTAATGGATCATGATGGACCTCACTCTCAACTCTGAGGTGTATAAGGTTGAAGAGAATAGCCAGCATCCACTTAAAAGGCGTTAGGACAAGTCGTGTCCTTTAGGGACAGGTGGGTTTTACTTAAGTCAGAAGCAAAAAGGCATATTCCATGAAGAGCTTTTTGGACGTAAAGGAATATTTATAGAATGAAGGCATTTAAATAAATAATAGCCGTTTTTATTGTCTTCATTAATGTAGAGAAGCAGTGAAAGAAAGAAAGCAAAGTGTAGGAGATGGTATGGAACCAAGGATAAAAGAAAAGTTCCTAATGTTCTGAATTATGGAGATATAGTATTATAGATATAAATATTTGAAATATAGAGATCTATATTTGAATCTGAAACATAGTAAAATTTTACAGATATTTTATAGATAAACACATGGAATACTATAGGTAATAGAATTATGGATGTGCGACTATCTTCGTATTAATTAAGGTCCACAAAATGCTGACATGGTTATAAAGAGAAAATACTGCCCATCAGCTCTGAAGGAGTACTTCTACTGGCATGTAACAATGCTTGGAATGCCCTCAGCTCATTCTTTTCTAGCCCATTTCTTATCCTGAAAGGTGAATTTTCACTATCTGAGATGTTGAAAGAGTTGGAGGTCACACAGCACTTCTTTTAAGAAATTAGGTAAAATGTAACTATTTTAAGAAGTAATGCTTATTTGTTACCAGTTAAAATTGTAAAATTTGGGGTTTCTTGTCATTTTGTGGAAGAGCAAATTGATGGTATTTATGAATAAACTGAAATATAATATTTATCACAGCACTAAAATGCACAGGAATGTATTAGATGTTTACAATGTATACCATACTGTGTTAAGCATGTCATATACTTTACCTCATTTCATCTTGAAAAATAACAGTCTGTTTTATTCCAATATTACCAATGAGTAAAGAGGGTCAGATATACAAGTAAGTAGTGTAGTATTCCACAGACAATAATGGACAGAGTTAGAATTGAAACACAAGTGTGTCTGCTTTAACCCAAATTCTTTCATGTTTCTTAAATACGAGAGATGAGTTAATATACATATATTTGTACTTTATTCATGTTTTAGAACATTTATAATAACTATCTGGAAAGTGATTTTTCTGTAATAGAGATTTATCATACTTCATAGAAATATATTTCCTCTAAATAATAGTGAAATTGTGGTAACTAGCTGCTCAATTGAAAGTTTATACAAGACAGAGATTCTTAAAGCTTGTGTATTATCAAATAAAAATAGGACATGTCTTATGGTAGATGGGAGTAAGAAATATCATCTTGTGTTTTCAAGAAATGTAACTATATAAATGCTAAGAAAGAAATTTATTGAATAAAAGCTGAAGAAAAAAGAGGGTGATTGATTTTAAACTCTACTGACTTGGTTGACTTTTACTTGATATGTGTTATCTGAAATAAATGGACAATGGCCACGCCCTCATTTCTTTTTTTTCTTCCTTTCATTGAATTTTAACAGAAATTTTGTCTGGCTCTTCTCATTTGTGTGTTTATTTCTCGTAAAATTGGGATGCATAATCAGAGTAGGTTTTTGTTCGTGTATGATTTGCCATGAAAAGTCACTGTGTCTTGAGCCAAAATTACACTTAGTACTTCATGGGGTTTTGGCTGTTTTCCTTTCTATTTTCTTCATTAGGCAGGTGCCATCAAGGCTAGCAGTACCCATATTATATGTCCGGAGAAGAGCCAGGCCAGATGGGAACTGCATGAAAGCTACCAGTTATCTTGCTAATTGTGCCAGCTAGAACCAGTTGTATTGCATTAAAAAATGTGGAATCCAACAACTTAGCTGTTCACACTCAATTAGCAGTGTGCTGGAGAATGGAAAACTCAAGCAAGGAGTCCATGTGCTCCAGGAAGTGACAGCTGCTTCCTTACCCAGCATTTAATATCCATATAAAAATTTTTCAATAAGTATTGTGATAATTTTTGCAAGGATCATGTCTATGTTATGTCTCTAATTCAGCTCATAATTTTAGAAAGCATTACATAAAGAAAGCTCAGTGGCCTATCTTGACTTTATAACCTTTCTTTTGCCCACATAAAGAATAAATCGCAAAAGTAAGCCACAAATTCTTGACATATTTTCAAAAAGAATAGAGAAAGAAGAAAAAATCAGGAAGAAAGCCAACTATTAGAGTATTTATCATAACTGAAGGATGTAAACATCGAGACTAATGAAGGCTCAAATGCTTCATTTGTACACATTCTGGGGTAAAAATAGCTGGAAACAGCAACTCACTTCACTGGCATTTTTCGTTCCACTGTCTGTCACAGATGATGCCGAGTTTCTCTTTCTGACTGATCTTCAAGCTGAAGGTAATGTGACAGCAGGAACATTACAATTAGTGTGCAAATACCTATCCTCTGGGTTACAGATTGCATTCTTTAAATCATGCTATTCTCAGCTTTTTTTCATTTTGCTATTAACTTTTCATTGGTCAAAGCACTTAAACATCTAAGTAATAAATAACACTTCGAATAAATGTTACATTTCTCTGAGTCTATGGCATCATTGAATTAAATTTCATTTGAAAGTTTGTTTTCTAAAGTTCATATTAATCTATTTACAAGACAACTATTGTTCACAGGAGGTTAAATCAATATATATTATGATATACATATTGAAATATATATATATAGTTAGTATTCACCTTTACATCTTTAATCTAAAACATCATTTTGTTTCCCTTTGTTCTTTGATTTTCAGAGAATCTGAGGAAGGCTCTATATTTATTATACTTATCTTAAACAGTTATATATGTTTAGCTATTTAAGCAATTTTACTCATGAACTAAAATCTTCTAATAGACACTGCAGTTTTATTTGAAATTTATGCAGTTTTTATAGCTTAGTAACATACATTTCTCTCTTACTTGTAACCGTGGATCTCATGTCATTTTATGCCAATATTTCTTTATGCAATGAGATGTTTAATGTAATAAGGCTAATGTATTTGTCAAAATAAAGGCAATATATTGGTAATTTTAATTATAGTCAAAGTTTTATAACTCCATGCATTGTCAAGCTTTTACCTCAATGCAATAGAGTTCTTTGGTAGTAAATTCAACTGTTACGTGTTTATGACCCTCAGTGTCAATTAAAAACTCCTGAAAGATTGACAGTTTTTAAGGTGGAAAAAAGAAAGGAGTGAGAAGAAGGTGGAAAATGTTCTTTTCTTTGACTTAGCGTGGAAGTGCCCTAGTTGATCTATAGAAATCCTTAGTATGAGTGGCCCTGGACTAATGAGACTGAGAGAAGTAGAAGAAATGACCTAAAAATTCAGTGTATCATTAAGAAGGGAAATCATCAATTAGCCCAATCCCTTTTGTTAATTCAAGCACCATTAAGTAATTTTCTTATGATAAGCAAAAACTGATTCATTAAACATATTTTGACTTTTTGTTTTGCTCAGGGGGATAATGAAGTCTTAATTTTATAATATATGTTTGAAAATAGTACAGTTTGGAAAATAAACTATCAACATTTAAAGAACCCTCTTGGTAAAAATAAATGCAAAGTCTTTAAGAAATAGGAGTCAGGATTAGGTTTGTTTTACATTAAAATATTAAAACAAAAATTTAAATTTCTATTTTGAGTTCAGTGCAATTGTAAGCATGCTTTTTCTCATAAATCCTTCCACAACCACAATTATTGCTTGTTTAATGTGCACTTTCCATTCCTTTCAATCTTCTTTTCTTTGTTCAGAAAAACTAAGAATTGGATTTTATTTATCAAACTTAAGACTCATAATACAATGGGCAGGTGAGGAAATAAGCTTTCTTCTTAGGCTGAATGATGCTTTATTGTATCTTGACAATTCAATGTATGTTAACAAAAGATTGCATATAGATTCTGTTGGGGCATCTAAATATCATCAGCTTGTAGTCCAACAGGTGTAGACACCATTATCAGAGCTTATGCACAGCATGGCAAGCTAAGTATACAACCTTCCCTGCAAAGATGTTTGTGTCCTAATGCCTGCGACACCTGAATATATGACTTTTTGTCACAAAAGAGAAGTTGATTATCCTAGATTTCCTGATGGACCAGGTGTAATTATTATTATTATTATTTTTAGTTCACGTTCTTTGCAGTGACATGGATGAAACTGCAAACCATCTTTCTTTTTTTTTTTAAGAAAAAAGAAAGAAAGAAAAAAAAAAGAATGAAGGAGAGGAAGGAAGAGGAAGAGGGAGAGAGAACAGGAGTGTTGCTTTATTGCCCAGGCTAGAATGCAGCCTAAAAATGGATATTGAAAACCTCCTTTATGCCAATGATTGTGCTTAATAATGGAGACAGGAATAAATGAGGGAAGAAAATAACAAGCAGCCAACCAATATTTCATTTAAACCTGTAAGTAGGTGTGATGTGGTACTGATAAGAGTGTATATTTTGTGTATTTAAAGTGGAGAGTTCTATAAATGTTTATTAAGTTTACTTGTTCTGGATCTGAGTTCAGGTCCTGGATATCCTTGTAATTTTCTGTATCATTGATCTGTCTTAATATTGATGTTGAAGTCTCCCACTATTATTGTCTGGGAGTCTAAGTCTCTTTATAATTTTTATGTATCTGGGTGTTCCTGTATTGGGTGCGTATATATTTAGGATCATTAGTTGCATTGATCCTTTTACTGTTATGTAATGTCCTTCTTTGCCTCTTTTGATCTTTGTTGCTTTAAAGTCTATTTTATCAGAGGCGAGAATTGCAACTCCTGCTTTTTATTTATTTATTAATTTTTGCTCTCCATTTGGTTGGTAAATCTTTCTCCATCCCTTTGTTTTGAGTCTTTGTGTATCCTTGCATGTGTGATGGGTCTGGATGCAGCATACCGATGGGTTTTGGCTGTGTCTTTTGATTGGGGGATTTAGTCGATTTAAATTTAGGATTAATGATAATATATGTGAGTTTAATACTGCCATTTGATGTTAGCTGGCTGTTTTGCCCATTAGTTGATGTAAATTCTTCATTATGTTGATGCTCTTTACTTTTTGGTATATTTTTGGACCAGGTGTAATTATAAGCGGGGAGGAAGAAGGGTTAAAGTCTAGTAGTAGGATATTTGAGAATGAAAACAAGATGTTGGAGTGATGTGAGAAAGGGCTCAAACCAAGGAATGTAGGTGGCCTCTAGAAGCTGAAAAAGGCAGGGGAAGAGACTGTCTCCTCAAAGCCTCCAGAAGCAGCCAGCCCTGCCAACACCTTGATTTTGACCCAATGAGACTGATTTTGGACTTCTAGTTGATATGGTTTTGCTGTGTCCCCACCCAAATCTCATCTTGAATTGTAGCTCCCATAATTCCCATGTATTGTGGGAGGTACCTGGTGGGAGATAATTGCATCATGGGGGTGGTTCCCCCATGCTGTTCTTGTGGTAGTGAATAAGTCTTACGAGATCTGATGATTTTATACAGGGTTTCTCCTTTTGGTTGGCTCTTTCTCTCTTGTCTACCACCACGTAAGATGTGCCTTTCAGCCACTGTGATTGTGAGGCCTTCCCAGCCAAGTGGAACTGTGGGTCCATTAAACCTCTTTTTCTTTATAAATCACCCAGTCTCAGATTTGTCTTATCAGCAGAATGAGAACAGACTAATACGGGTACCCTGGGCTCTAAGATAATAAATGTGTGTTGTTTTAAGCAACTAAGTTGATGGTAGTTTTTTACTAAAGCAATAGTAAATGAATACATCTAGGGAATTCCCCTCCTTAAAACCCTGCCTAAAAGAAGGTAGGTAAGTAATAGAATAGGCATAAATTTTGAGACAAGAGTAAGAAGTTCATATGCAAATGTGGATTATTCATCTGGACAATAACCGTGACATTTCTGAGTCTCTTTGCTATTGATAGTACTGATAATACCTATCTCACAAGGTTACTGTGTGAAACTAAAAGAAAATATAACAAGCCAACACATCTTGTATAGGATTATTTATTTTGTTTCCTTTCTCCTTATTTGACATTCACAGAACCATGGTTAAAATAATAATATGGGAGATCTTATGGACAATACTGTCGTGCAATCAACAGAAATTTCTGTGCAAAGAGATGAGATTTATTCTGCAATATTTTTGAATATGTACCTTGTACAAGAAATCATAGATAGGTGCCGTAGAAATGCAAAACTTTAATCAGACATTATAAAATTGTTAATTCTGGATAATTAACATGACGAGGCTGTGTGTGGAATAATTGTAAGACTGCGAATAAAGGCAGGTGGGAAAGTTAGAGATCATGTTTAACTCCATCAGTATGTATAATTTTTATTTGTCAATTACAAAATTAGTTAATTAAAAAAGTAAAGGGGAATTGACAGAATCATAGGAGATATTTCTTTTTATTTTCAGTTTATGGGCTAAGTGAATGACACAAATTATCCTCATAAACCACTTCAGGGCTATCATGTTTTGGGGAACGGGACTTTGCAGTCAACTTCCTGGTTTAAAAAGTAACATGGTTCTTTGTCCTGGAAATTCTAAGAAAATCTTTTAAAAAGTATAGCTGGTCCAAGCATGAGAGGACAAGGCTGGCTGAAGACAGACGGAAGAGGAAACATCAGTGGGATTATGACTGTGCAGAGGAGACGGGGTGAAGAGGGTCAGAGGAACAGATTTCCAATCTGGTAGCCTGAAAGAAGGATGTTTCCACTCATGACCATGCCAATGGATTAAAAAAACAGGGTTAGGACAATCAATTTATAAAAAAAGTTTAGAAATGTGTAGAACATTTAGACATAGTTTGCTTAACTTTCCTGTCAGAGGTCATAGTATTTTTATAGGCCTATTCAAAGACAATATAGATCATGTAAATCTACATGAGACTCCTCTATTAGCCAAAGAAACTACTGCTGTTTATAAACTTCATTATTAAAGATAGGATAAAAAAGTTAATACAAATTTCATTCTGGTACTTTATAATTTAAGCAGAAGTATCATATTTTATCTTGATACAAGTGCTAAACAAGGCTTATATTTTTTAAAAATATGCTGATTTAGATTGTATAACATCCAAGTGAGAATGTCATGAAAGATTTGTGGAAAAAACACAGTAATATTTAAAATAATTGAGCATTTTTATCTGATGATAGTGAAAATGCTTCAAGCATATGTGTCAGAAACTTTCTGAGAATTATCTCCTTGGTTGTTATTCTATGAGATAGCCAATATTTTCATTCTTACTTTAAATATGAGGAAACTAAGACTCAAAGAGGTTAAAAAAACTTGCTCGGTTTTACATATCTAGAAAGGGGAAGGTTTGGAGTAAGACTGAGTAGGGGCGACTTGGTATTTAAGTGGTAATGACAGTTAAATCTGTTA